TGTCGTCGCTTTCTTGGCCAACCCCACGAATACAAAGTGGGAGGATTTCCTCATTGGACACACTGCCAAATTGACGCCACAAAGGAGTCTGAATGCGAACTGAACAATAAAACATGAAGAGTAAGTATGTCCCAACAAAACATCTCATTCCCTGGGTTCCTGGACTTTAAAGCTTTGGCAGGCTTGGCAGCAACAATAGTTTTGTTATTTCTTTTTTCTGGCAGATCCACTCAAGAGTTCAGCCATGCATTCTCTGGAGCCCCAAATGTGTCTGAAGAAGTTGTAATCAGTTCACTTGGCGGTTACAACGACCTCACGCATGATGGGATTTCTGCCAATTTCCAATTTGGGAATTATAGTTTGCCCACGTGAAATGGGGTCCTTTGCACTGGTGTCCCACTGCGGATTACAGATTCAAGATTAGTAGGGATCCCCCTTCTCGAACGACCCACTTAGGACAATCACGAGGGTAACAACTTGGTCAACAGCTTTCTTTGATTGTCCAGGGCCTGCTTCCATGGTCAAGCCCAAAGAAGGTTCCCGTATTGCTACCAGGGTCACGGGATTTGGTACTGAGACCAACGTCGGTTGGGGTTCCGTCCGCCAGGTTGGCGGTCTCGGACACGCAGAAGCCGGAAGTTCTGGCACGCAGCTTCATGGTCTCCGCAGCGCCTCGGAACGCCTCAGGGCGGGCTGCCAGGGCGGTCGGGCATGGTTGAGCAACGAGCTCAAAACCCAAAACCCCAAAATGAAGTGGGTGGGTTAATGTTTACACCCCCCCCTCTCGCTGGGAGTGGAAACAGTCAGCCGGACCCTCTTTAGGCAAAATCGTGGGGGTCTGGAAGGGACAGTACTTACTTCAGTATTGCCAATTCTACTTTACTTTTGCCAAGTTTGTTTGGTCCATAATTTTTCGCAGGCTTAGTCCAGCCTGAGCCCGACAAGATCAGGAGAGTAAAAAGCAAAAATTGTTGTTTGCTTCTTTCCGGGGGAAACATTTGCTGCAATTGAGGACCCCAAAACAGTCACAAGATCCTGAATTGCGAAAAACTGAAATGCTACAATAGAGGGTGCTATCAATAAAGGAGGTGTATCATTTCTGTAGCATGTAGCAGGAACATGCAGGACCCCCCCCCCCCCCGAGCTAGTTTGGTTCGTTTTGGCGTTCCTCCTCGTTCCTTTAAAACAACCTTGAAAAGGGTCCCCCAAACAGTTTGTCCATTTCTGCCACGACAAAATGGACTCGAGCGAGGGGCTGTCCAGGCAAGTGAGGGCGAGGACTAGATTACAACGCATGTATGGTCTGGAAGAGTTGTGACGCGGGTGTACCCCAGAGTTGGGTCACCTGTTCAACGGGTTCTGGAATTCGAAGCTTGGCCGCACATAGTGAAGCCAAGAGCCTGCTTAATTATTATAATATATATATATATACAAAGATACACATATACATATATGTATATACATATGTAATAGTCCGGTCTGGGCCACCGGAGGGTTTTCTTGTGAATCTTCAACCAAGCTGACATAGCCACCGTTTTAGGGCCCTGTGGGAGCTTCTATGGTGGGGGCATCACGGTGCTTGAGGACTGCGCCCATGCCTGCCATCCGAACTATGCTGCGAAGCATCAGGCGGGCGGGCGCATGGCTTTGCTTCGGATGGAGAGGCTTGACTGCCCCTCAGGATATCCAAGTGTTGGATGCTTTGCATCTTGTGACCATAGTTCCAGGTGTTTTGCTGGAGGTTCACGGATTGTCGACTAGTGCCAATGCCACAACCAACTCAAGTGGAGGTGCCTGAGTTTGGTCGGTGTTTCCTAGGATGCGGGCACAGTCCTGGGTTGGCTGGAACGGGACATTTGCCTAGACAAGGTAATTATCCATAGTATTCACAATACAGGGCCATGGGCTCATGCGGGGAATTTATTCACATGTAGGGGGGAACCATGGGGGAACCAAGTTTACTGTAGCCCAGGTTGAGGGAGAGGGCTGTTCAGTTATATTCTATCATTTGAAGCCTTTGTTTGCGGCATCAACTTCACTCACATCTCTGAGGCAGAACACCGTCGGGGACCTTAGGTTGGAGAGAGCGGTGAAGCGGGAGGCCACACAACGGAGCTGGGGCAATGATTTTTGACGCTGAAGGCTCAAGGAAGTCTTTGAAAGCTAGTGCCATTGGCAAGACATTACCCGGGTTTCAGACGCACCTGAGTTTGTCACAAGGTGCACTGACTATCAACTGACTGCCCACCGACAGGCTGCCAAGCGACTGCAACCAACTGCCAACCGACTTCCAAGTGCAAGCTTCCCCCTGCCACCTGCCAACAAAGCTGTTTTTGTTTGTCACATTGATCCTGCTACAACACTATATCACGGAGGGCACTTACAGTATCCGATCTATCGGGCAAGGCCTCACAGTTTTCACGCCCATGTGTTTGTGGAAGCAGACCTTGTGATTCAGGGGGCTTGTGGGATTCCAAATGCAAATCCTTGCTCTGGTTTCCAGGTTCGTACCAAAGCAACACATGGCTTTTTGCCGGGGGAGCGGCATTATCTATGCTGACCCCTAGAGGCAACGAAGCCCAACTGAAGCCTTGGGCTCAGCGGCTCAGGCTAGCTGTATCCAGTCTGGGCCTGTGGGTTTGTTTCAAGCATCATGGAACCCCTGGAGTGGGTGGTTTCCTTTGTTTCCTGTTGGCCTGCCTTGAAAGCAGGTTCAGGGTACCCTCAAACTTAACCATGGGTTCACATTGTGCCCGTTGCAAGTTACCTCCGGGCCTGCGAAACACAAACCAGTGACCCGTGCAAATCAATTACGGGAGCTTACTTATACCGACATGTACAATCATTTTTTAATGGGTCTGGAGGCCGGAAACCAATCCATCTGCAATAGGTTCGCTATTTTTTGGAAGCACTACCGTCACAAGGCATTGACTTCAATCGTCATGCCTTGGTTTGCACCCAACAGCATTTTTTTTTCGGATGCAGAATGCTTTATCTAAGGGGGGCAGATGGCTGGAGCTGCTGCTTTTGGCTGCAAGCCATCCCAGCTTCCGATGGTTTAGGAGGCTTGATGTCCTGTTCGCCTGTAGTTGTCAAATGGACACGGCTGATCTTTAGCCGTCTCTTTGTTTTGTTTTACCCAAGTTCTGCCCTGGTGTGAGGTGTGTTGCAGCTTTCTCTTCCAGCTTGGATTGTTCGGTTGACCCGGGATGTTGTTTTACATTGTCAGGGGTACGAAGTATACATCATTGTGGATCACATTGTCGCCCCTACGCCAACGAGTTTGCCCTTCTTTGAGGTCCCTTCTTCCACAAGGGCATCGTCATCAAGACGAACGCCAACCAGAGGCCATGCTGCCAATGTGCTTCTTGAACACCCGGGAACGGGAGTACCGCTGGTGGATGAACAAGGTGGTGCCTCCTTCTGCAAGACATCCTGCACTTTTGGCGAGGAACACCCTATTATTCCGCCAGGTTGATTATTCCAGACTTGGCATTGCCATGATGTTGAATGTCGGAACTTTGGCATTTAGTTTCGTTGCTCTTAGTAGCAATGGCGCCTCAAGCAGCTTCTGCCTGCGCCGTGCAAGCCGGGGCCGAAGTCTAGATCGAGCTGAAGACATCTTGGGCGGTGTAGCATCAAAGACAGCCGGCTGCCCGCGCATCAGCCATAAATGCTATCACTGAGCCCATTTTTGTTTCTTCGAAAAACGCGCTTGTCAGAATCAATTGGCCACCCTTGAGCGCCTCTTTGCCAAAGTAATGTTTTGTGTCTGGGTATTTCATGTATATATATATATATATATGGTTCCGGTGCGAATGGAATGAGTAGGCCTCAGGATTTGCCCTTCCCTGTGCACACTGTAGGATCAGTCAGCCACCTGTATAGGCTTGTTTAACCCATTGTTGTAAACAGTACCATTCAAGCTTTCAAGTGGTCCCAGGCTTGGTTGTGTGCATAGACCAGGTTTGGATAACCAAACCTTTACAGCGTCACGTGCTTGATGTATCTGTTAACGATCAACCAAACAGATTTATGCGCAGGACTTCCTAGCGAAGTGACGGTTCGGCCAGGTTGACCAGCCTCAACTTATCGGAAGGTCTGCGCAGGGTGGAAGAGCCAAGATATTGGATGCCCAATCCAGCCCTGTCGCGAGTTCAACCATTCAACTATTGCGCAAAGGCTACACGTGTTTTTTTGCTCACAAAGCAATTCGCGTGGTCAAACCAACGCGGTCAGGTGCGAGGCATTTTGAGCAAGATGCGCCATTGGCGTATTCATCGCAATATTGTGTAGTTGCTGCATTCAACGCAGAGCCGGCGCATTGCCAACGTAGCACAGGGCGCAGCACGGCACAGCTCATGGATTCCCGCCGAATCTTTCGTCCATTGGATGACACTAAGCGTTTCCCTATTTTCCCGGAAAAGATGCTGAACTGGGAAGCTCAATGCCCAAACAAATTGCCTGTCTGTGAAGCCATGACTAAACATTGACATTGTCCATTTCTTAGCATGTTGCCACACGAAAAAATATAACCGTCACCCACAAGTAGCAACTCGGTAGAATAGATGCATCAGGAGTCACTCTGACTGGTCAAAATGGCGCAACCATACTGGACATGCGCACATGCTTCGCCTGGAGCTTTGTGGGGAAGGTGCCTGTCCGGCAAAAGAGCGGGCCAGGTATGCCACCACCCCCTTGACGGCAGCTCTTTTTAGAGAAGCCAGGGGCCCGGATGGCATCGCCACTTTGCTTTGACATTGACAGACTTCACTCGCCTTGAGTAAAGTTCCCTTTCTCAAACTTTGGAAAACCTTAAATTTCAAGTTCCAGAAATCCTCCTGTTTTGTGAGGCGACTGGTAAAATAGATGTCAGGTTGGAAGGCACCCAACCATAGATTCCGGGACTTGGCCATTGGTCTTTTCCAGGCCCCCTAAACGACCATACACCCCATACATGTCCCCTTGGTACAGGTGCGGGCCGTGGCTTTGCCGATTTGGGTGGGATCCTTGGTGGAAGCCCGACACGCCAGTTTGCAAGGTCTGCAAGCGCAGCGACGTGCCGGTGCAGGATTTTGTGGTGCGGAACGACAGCCCTTGTGGCAGCACCATAGGCGAGACACCTCGTCTCCGGCTGCCAAAAGGTTGGGATAGAGCTGTTCCGCGATCAAATGGCTTGTTGAACAGAGGCTAAGACTTCCCACCCACCCCCCCTCACCCCTAGTGTCCCACAAACTTAATGCCTGGGCTCTACTCTATTCAGGTCTTGTTTCAGGGAAACAAGGCAGATTGGGAGGAAGCTGGGTGGCCGAACCCCTTTTGGAAGCTTGAGGCATCCTCATAGTATGGATCTTTCCCGCGAACTTTGGCAGGGAAAGCCATATTCGGTCTTTTGCCACCTTGATGCCCAGCTTGCAAGTCAGTGACCGCAGGGTTGTGGGTCCTTTGTTGACTGATGTTCCAACCTTGAGGCAACCCAATCAAAACTTCTGAAATATCCCATGAAGCGGCAAGGTGTTCATGAACGATCCTGCAAGTCTTGCCGGGGTTGGTGGGGGTACCGTCAAACACGCAGCAATCATAGTTTGTGATTGTTGGGCTTCGAGCACCTGCGCATTTTATCCAGTATCCTGCTGGCGCATATTTACTTGACATATTGTGCTCACCTGCAAGTGTTTCTACGGCACATAGTCGGTCATACTTGCTCGTGGCGTTGCTTGTTGTATGTATGCTTTGGTGTCAAGCCCGAGCAAAGCACCTCACAAACAGGGTATTGAGATTTGAATGAAGAGCCTCCTTGCCTGCCCGTTCAAGTTGTCACACAAGGGCTAAATATCAACCGTCATGCGTTTTATGTCTTGTGGTTTAAGTTGTTGTGTTCTGTCTTTTGAAGCACGGCACATATTTGAAGCCGCTTCCGCCACCCCATGGAACGTAGTGTGCACACCTTGCTAAGCAATCGTTTTGAGCGCGCGCAGCTCTGGCCTCAAGTCTAGCAGATAGTGGTTGCGACAGCGAAGGAATGCTGAACATCCAATGTTAGGGACTCCGTTTACAGCAAAACAATTTCCAACCAACGTAATGTCCGACATGGCAGGCAGTCGAATGACAAATCCCAAGTCTTGGACCGCCATCCTGCCGTTATGTCCAGGCCCCATCATCTCGTCCAAGACCGGAGTTGGCGACTTAGATCCGAGTCGCCTTAGACGAGTCATTTCCTGGAGTTTGGAAGACCTGGACATGAAGTCATACAAGTTCTCCCATTTGGTGCAAGCCCCTTATACTGGTTGATTGTGGTTTTCCTCAGTTTTGTTTGTGGGGCCTGACGCCCAGCATCAAAGCTTCAGCCTTGGGTTTTCCGCTCGGGAGTGGGTCACCCTGTTCCGCGATCTTGCGCCTGCACAGTTGGCGATATGCCTGTAGCTCACGCTTCTCCTTTGGGATAACCCCTCTTGCACGCTTGGGCAACTGCGGATGCAGATGCGAGAGATATGGCGGACAGATGCCCTCAATATTGCAATTCAACTTACAAAACCAACTGTATCTCAACCACCAAACCAAAGTGAATTACAGTAAATTTGAGTGGCCCTTGCTCCATATCACGGGATCCTCAGTACCACTTGAGATTGAGAGGAGTCTGCGCAGAGGTCCGGTCCATTGATGTCGGTGCTCCACAGTGGGCCATGCACTCCTGTAGAGAGGCCGGAGGCGTTGGGCGGAGCCAAAGTCCATGAACAACCTTTTTGAACAGCGGCATACCTTTCGATGTGTTTAGACATCTCTGTTGATACACCCGAACTTACCCAGAACAAAAGCAGGGATCCCACCCAACTTGTCCATGCTCCTGTGTGTAAGAAGCAGTATTGTGTGTGTGCGTGAGGTTTTCCTAGTTCTTGGTTGGCGTTTGTAACACGCTACATGTTGCCCTTGACCAAAGTCATGGTGGAAGAACTCAGACATGTTGCTTGCCCAAAGCTTGCCTTTTGACTACCAGAAGTTTTGGCACGTGAATGGCAGCTCTGACAAGTGCGTAATCATTGCGCGCACGGCCCCCTTTTAATGGTTTCGGCCGTTATGGAACTTGTTTTTTTCTTCCTCGGCTCATTTCGGTTGAGATGTTATGAGCAGATTTTGCGAGCAGTGGGACATGGATTGACCACGGTGTGACCAAAACTAGCCTGGTTTTACATTGTTTCCATAATCTGTTCTTGATAACGAGGGCAGGGGATCATTTGCATTCAGTTTCAAAACGAGAGATGCTTTTGATCTGATCCCATTTGAAAGGGAAATCATGATGAGACCCATCCAGCTGCATGCAACAAGTTCTCGGCACAACTGCGGTGCAAAGCAATGCAGCTACTGGAGCCTGGGCCGTCAGCCGGCTCCCCTGGATACGCTTTGCACGTTTTCCTCGTCCCGAAAGCCTGGCCGCCGATTTCTGCCCCTAATGGCAAGCCTTGAGGGAAGATGATGCGACACATGCGATCCCACATACAAGTC